AAGATCAATCAGTTACTTGTTTTGAAAAATATTGTTACATTGACTTTTATACATCACATGTCAAAGTCTATTCCCCATGAATGAAAGTTCAGGGTAAAACATGAAACAATAAAGATTATCAGAAGAGAATAGTTTTAAAAAATAGATGATGATGAAGGCGTGAGCTGGGAAGGGGAAACAGCATTGATTTTCTGAATGTAGACTTCACAGTAGGAACTAAATGTCTTCACTGTGCCTGTCTTCTGACCCAGAAATCTCACTCCCATAAATGGGTCCTAATGGGACAATTAGAGAGGTGTCATTTGATCTTCTGCAGTTTTATTTATAATAGCAAATAACTAGAAACAACCAGAGACAGCCTGAGGGCCTTTACACATGCAATACAGTGGTGTTCGTGCTACTTCCTTGGTTAATATTCTGAAATGGCTGAGCTGCTCCAAGTACAGACCATGCCCTTAGTGAACTTGGAGGAGCTTGATACTTGCCAGCTTCTCCAGCACCCTCCCAACTCCCACCACTCCCTTCTCTGCATTCAGGTCACAGTGCAGCCAGCAGGGCCCACAGCCTGCACACAGACACTGTCCCACATATCTGAACTTTTTCTTTGTTGACATTTTGGGACATCAGGAGCTCTACTCCTATGCCATCTCCCCCTGGAAGCCAACCTCTGGCCCCTAACCATATAATAATATCATCATACAATACCATAATACAATCACAGTGCTTTGGGACTTTACCATACAGTACTATAATCTAATACCTCTCTTCTTGTCCGCTCCATGAGGCTAACCTGAAGATGGTTAGACCTGAATTTCAACCATGTGCCAGAAAACTGCAGCTTTTTCTGGTACAATTGAGTCTCCATGATGTGTGAGGTAGAAGTGTTTCAAATTTTGGGTTTAGGGGGATTTCAGAATATTCTTGCATATACATAATTAAGTATCTTCAAGAGAAGAGCCAAAATTCATTCATTTCACAGTATCTTATACTCAGCCCAAAGGTAATTTTATACAGCATTTTTAGTGCACCCCACATCCCATCAGGTGAGGTGGTCAGGTGTGGAATTTTCCTCAAATGGTGTCACATCAGTGCCTAAAACTTTCAGAGTGTGGAGCATTCTGAACTGCATATTTTTGGATTAGGGACATTTGGCCTGGACCACATGCCATAGAATGACTGTCCCTACTTACTAGCTCTGAAATCTTAAATAATTCCTTAATTTTTTCACACCTTGGCTTCTTCTGCTCTAAAATCAAGATAATAGTCAATAACACCTCCTCACAGGACTGCTGTGAGGATATACCAGCTAATCCACATAAAACCCTTAAAGAGGACTTGACATAGGACCTTGTCAGTATCAATACTGTTAGAAAAACATCTTGAAACAGAACCTAATTTCTGTTATCGCAAATCCAATTCCTACAAATGAAGAAGCTAAAGTAGCAGCAAGAAAATCAAAGTGTCTTGGTTGTTCCTATGCAATGTTCATCTATGAAAAGCAAAGCAAAGGCAATGAAACCACTGAAGGGTGGAGATCTCAGAGAAAAGAAGAATCTGGGGAGGAGCTTCAGACAGAAGGGCTTTATCAGCTGCAAACATATTTCAGAGCAGAGCTGACAAGGTCAGAACTGCAGCTCCCCTGGCCCAGCTGCATAAGCTATGATTTTTGTTTTCCTAATTATATTTTTTAAAAAGGCTCTTAAATATCCGCTCCCTATGTAAATTCAGAACTCAGCCCCTGGTGAGCCACAGAGGCAGTGTTTATCTTCTGCAGGCTGTTTGGCAACTATTCATATCCTCTCATCCACTGTCAACAAGGAAGCGGCCCCAAACCACAGAAGACAGCATAATAAAAGGATGAGCTAGAGGCTGAGATGTGTTGTGGTTTTGTTTTGGAAATTGGAAGAATGAATAGAGTTAGAGGTAGCAGGAAACTATAAACTTCACACCAGACAGCAGGGGACAGGCCAGAAACTGCCAGGCAGGGTAGATCACACAAGAGGACTCTGGGGGTGGCAGGGATGAGGCCACTGTGGGTCACAGAACAGGTGCCACCCACTCAGCCTCTGTGTTGGGGGAAAGGGTGCAGCTCAGGAGCAAGGAACATCTCATCTTTGCTCTGAGAGGACAGGGAGGAGAAACCCCACCAAAGCTGGGGGTGAGATGGCTACAGACAGTGCAGGCTTAGAACAAATACCAAGTGGAACCCACTGTATCTCATATGACAGCGCTCTTTTCTAATTCAATAATAGCAGTAGAACCTTCTGACCTTGGAAGGGGCCCTAGTGGCTAACAGACCTAGGAGTTCCCAGACTTGGGTACACAATACCCCTCAAAGTAACCTGGCATGCTTGTTAAAATGCAGGTGACTGAATTCAGGGACAGAAAGTAGAATAGAAGTTGAAGTTCCCTGGGCCTGGGGTGAGGGAGAGAAAGGGTGTAACTGTGTATGTGGTATACAGTTTATATTGGGGAATGAGGAAAAGGTTCTGGGCATGGATTGAGCAACGTGAGTGTACTTAATGCCTCTGAACTGTAGACTTTAAAACAGTCAATTTTGTGCTATGAATGTCTCACCACAATAAAAATAAAATCTATCTAGTTGAGCCAAAATAAAAAGTTGTTGGTGTTAGAACCCCATTCCCAGACTGTCTGACCCAGAAACCAGAACAATTTAAAAATCACTACAGGTGTTCTGATAGAAGTGATTGAGCACTGCAGTTTAAAAATGGCATTTTTGATATATATCTATATATATCTCTCTCTATATATATATATATGCACACACACACATATATGTGTGTGTGTGTGTGTGTGTGTGTGTGTATTCCTTTTTTAGAAACAAGAACTGGCTAGGACATGTCTGTGTTTGATCAGTGGAGGAGGTGGGGCAGCATTGGTGGCACACACAAGGCGGAACGTGATGTGACATTTGTAGGTCTTGAGTAATGACCTCATGGGGCTTCATTTTATACTGCTTTCTCCTCTTTTACATAGGTTTGCAATTTTCTAATAAAAAAGGTTTAACAAAAATTGTGTGTGTGTGTGTGTGTGTGTGTGTGTGTGTGTAGTGGTGGCAGTGAGAGGTGCATTCCCAACCAAAAGGATGAAAGGGAGAGAGGCGAGTTGAGGTTAGGAGGACAACCCACAAGTCCAAAGCGAGAATCCCACTCAGGCCAAGGCAAGGAAGCAACCAAGCGGCAGCTGGGTCCCACACCGGATGGGTGAGGCCCCTGCAGTGTCTTTTTGGGCTTGTGAACAAATACAAATCTTTGAGTGATGGAGAAACATTTGGATATTCGGAATTTTGCAAAGGCAGAATCATATCTGTGCTCTAGCTAGTGACTCTGGTGATTATGCAGAAGGTGGATTAAGAGGTTCAAGTGAGGAGCAAACTAGAAAGCTATGTAGCTATCTTGATAAGCAGAATGTGCAGGTTTCTAAATGCTGTTTAGGTGTCTGAATGCAGAATGTAGGCAGAGGTGGTAGCAGGGCTGGTGAGAAGGAGCTAGAACCAATGGGGATTTTAGCAAATGTGCTCAGGCCAGTGCAGGGGATAATTATAGCTAAGGGATGGATAGAAAAAAGCAAAAAGGGACAGTGACAAATAAGCATGCATCCTGAATAGAGCAACAAGGGTGGTTTGAGACCTAAAAACCTTGGCAGGTGAAAATGCTGGGCTTGGGGAGACAGAGTTCCCAGGACCCATGACAGCTTTTATTCAGATTTATAAAATTTTCACCATGGGCTAAGGGGGTCCTTAGATTATTTTTTTTTTCTGTTTTAGAAAAAAAAATAGGAGGAGGCATATTTTGCCTCAACAGGAGAAATCTTGCAAGTATCTCAAGGTGTCCAACACAAGCATGAGCTGTCTCTTTATGCAGTGAGCTCCACGTAATGCTGAAGGTGTTGGAAAAGAGATGGCCAAGTGACTCTAAGGAAAGATTCCAGGGCCACCAATGTGTGAGGAAAGGGACCTGGAAGACTCTGAGTAGTGGAGCTGAGGACCACCACTATTAACAGTGTCACCTTAGACAAGACTTTCATCTTTGTGCATCTCATTCTCCTCATATGTAGAAGGGGCAGACTGGGCTTGATCTCTCAGGAAAATGGGCCAGATTGCAGCTGAGGTCACATTCTGATGGCCACGCTCTCTGTAGACAGCTTGTCAACATTGAGAACTCAACCCATCCAGCATGGAATCAGCTCTTCTGTCCAATTATCTGAGTCTGTGCTCGGTACTGCTGCTCTGGAATTCTGGCTAGGAACTGCTGAGCATGTTCACTTCCTTCCTCTGTTCTGGTGCCTATGTCTCTGTCTCCAGAATGCTTCTTTGACTTGGTCTAGATTCTTCCTTTCCTCAGATATCACTACAACCCAGACTCATCACACCACATGTGGACAGCAGGCATGGCAGTTTTAAACTGGGATAGACCCTGGAGAGATGTAGCCCAACTTGCCCCTTTTACAAATAATGAGAATGGGACTCAGAAAAAGTAAAGCCTTGTGTAAGGTTATAGGGCTAATAGTGGTTGTGCTAAGCTCCATGCTCTTTCCATTTCCCCACACCACCCAGCCCTGGGGTGTTCCTTACAATCATTTCAGCCACCCTGACACATTTCAGTGACTGGTTTATAGAGATTGGCCATGACTTCATCACAAAAGGTTTGGTTTATTTGTATAGTACTGTGATGGTCCTTGGTTAAACCATATGTGTTAATCTAGGAATTAACCCTGATCTCTTAATGGTAATAGAACACTGGGTCTGCTTTGAATTAAATAACACTGTTCTTTCGTGTGCTTCTCACAGATACTGCCAAAGTAGGACTGCTGAATTGTGAAATAAAGAAAAATTCTTGCCAGCTCCAGTTCTCTAGAGTCTAAAAATCCAGGTCACTTGGATACTAGATGTATCGTTGTACTCCAATGAGTACAAAAATTACATATATCATGTTAACTGGCTGTGCCCTGATTACAACCATAAAAGGTCCTGGACTCACGTTGGTTCTTCTGTTGCTATTCTGGTCTCCTCTAGTTCTTGTGCTTGTTTCAGCCAAGGTAATTTAGCTTCCACTGGACTTTTTTCTAAGAAAAAGGAACATAAACAATGAGTTTAATGACTATTAATCACTCGGAGAGGCTGGATACATAATCATCACTGGCTGAAAATTTAATTAACATAGAGGTCATGATTTTTAAATGCAAGTTGAGCCCTTTGGCATAGTACTTTAGGTGGCTTCTGGAATGAATAAACATTCCTGCCATTTTTAAAAATAGACACATTACTAAATACAATGGAAATAATTCCCATGATACAGGTGAATGTGCTCTCAATTTTCAACATAAAACTATCTTTACAGATCTAGACCAGTTTCTGTTCTTCGCATATTAAAACTTCAACTTCACCAATAACTACTTACTTTCTTTGCTACAATTTGTTTTGCCCCCTGAATGCACAAATCAATAGAGAAAAGAAAATAACATGGAAGTTAATAGAGTGGTAGGGTGAGTACATCTGCTGTGGATGCCACCAGCTTTTACTGTTCAGAGATGGCCACTGGTCACATGCGTGGAGCAGCAGCAGGTGCCTCTTTCTGTCCTTGGAGCCTCTTTAGATGTGAAGAAAGAAAGGACTGAGTTGTGAAATGTGAAGGGAAATAACTCTGGGCTGCTTTGGGAAAAATACAGACACTAAAGGAGTATCTATTAAAGTATACAGTCAAATGCAGGAAAAAAAGGAAAAAGAGCTTCATGGATGGAGCTATGTAACTAATACATGCATCTGTCAGGACATCTGGTGTTTCTTCTACAAGATGGATGTGGTTAAAACAAGCATGGTTAAAGGGTTAATTGTGAGGTTATTTCTAGAGATAATAATGAACCCAGAAATAAAAGTATAAGGAAAAGTCTTTCTTACCAACAGGTGGGGACAATTACTTTCTATTCTGAGGAGGAAGGTGCTTGTCATGAGGATTGAGTGTACCTTCCTAATGTACATGGTAGTAACTGTGCATAAAAAGGAGCATATATTGGAGAGTTGAAGCCAACATTTGCTGTCCATAGATATCTACCTATTCTGCTAATTCATGTGGAGCAGATGAAACTGCAGGAGGAATTCTAAGTGCATCCACAGACCTAAATTGGGAGCTAAACTCTTCATTCATTCCTTGCATTATGACACCGAAGAGAACACTGGTTCCTCTTTGAAGAAATATATGCAAAGGAGAGGTATATACAGGACACTGTGTGAACAAAGGAGAATGAGAATCTGGGAAGGCTAAGAGTTGTTTCCTCCTCCTCCTC